TTCCTTAGCTTGTGGCACATCATTTCAACCTCTCCTATCTTCACACTGTCTTCTCTTCTTTCTGTCTGTCTCACATCTCCCTCTGCCTCTCTCTTAAGGACACTTACCATTGGATTTAGGATCCCCCAGGATAATCCAGGATAAACTCTTCTTCTTAAGATCCTTGGCTTATTAACATCTGCATAGATCCTTTTCCCAAATAAGGTAACACTCACAGGTTCCAGGTATTTGGCATGAATATCCTTTGAGGGCCATTTGTTGTGTGCCATGACTATTTTTGGCTGCCACTGGAGTACCAGTCAGGGGCCACTTTTAAGTCCCTAAAGTTCAGCTTCCTTTTGGATATATTATTAATTCAGTTCATTTCTGGATCATAGCTCTTACGGGAAATTACTGGAACATAAAAAAATTTCTTTCTAGAATTTCAACTGTTTTTGTAAATAGAGTCCAGTCAAAAGTCAATGTTCTTTTTGGTCATTGCCTTTTATATTGGTCAAGGTTTGCTCAGGAAAATAGAAGCATCTCTGTGTGTTCCAGGCATGAACAGAAACAGGGACTTATACCACTACTGGAAGATCTGGGCAGGGGGTCAGAGGTCAGCACTGCTGCTGCCAAAATTCAGGGACATTGACCTGGCCAAGGACCTCAGCCTGAAGCATGGACACAGGTGGTTCTCAAAAGCCAGCCAGGAAACTGTGTATTGCTTGAGGATCTCTAGAAGCTCCTTCCCACCACCTTGGCTTCAGTGAAGCCAAAGGGTTCCAAGAGCTGCTGCTTCTTGAGAATAATGCTTCCTTTCCCTTCTGCCTTCTCCTCTCACTGGCAGACCGACCCAGAACCACACAGGCAAGGAGGTTCTCCTTTGCATTTCCGGGGAGACCTTAAATGAGGGTAGGGAGCTGGAAACAGTCAATCCAGCATAGTTTTCAAATGATTTTGCTCCTTTTGAAACTTGCTTCCTCTTTTCTTTCTCTGATAGAAGGACCCCAGTAGCCAGGAGTTGGGTAAACCTCTTGGAGAAGAAAGATACATTCAAACTTAAATGAGATGGAGGAGGAGAGTAGCATCTGTTGTAAAGTAAAGGATGCTTAGCTAGGACCATTGATAGGGCAGGGGAGGCAGCCTGGGATAGGGGACAAAGCATGACCTCTGCAGACAGACTGATTCTGGGCTACATCCTGGCTCTGCTCTTTGGCCATGCTAGCCTCAGTTTCCCCACTTCAAAAGCCTATGAACAGTAATCTATCTCAAGGGTTGCTATAATATTTAATAAGATGAAGGTGTGGCCTACATCAGGATGTTCACTGCAGCATTGTTCCTAAAAGTTAAAGTTAGAAATAGCCTAGATATCCATTAAAAAGGGAATGGTTAAATGAATAATAGAAACCCATGCTATGGAATACTTTCAGCAGGTAAAAGTTTGAAGTTACGCTACATAGTGCTAGCCTAGAAAGAACTCAAAGACAGAGCTGAGTGCAGAAAGCTACTTGCACAACAAAATAACTTCAGTGGGTAACACTTCCCTATTTGTGTGTGTGACAGATCAATGTCCCTAACTGTCTGGGCCTCACAACCCCCCCTATGAGATAGGTACAGTTATTATCCCCACTTTATAGATAATGATACTAAGACACACAGAGGTCAATCTGAGTTGCCCCAAATCTGTATGCCAGTACCATTCCCGTGGCCCGAGTAATCTCTTGAAGGGACACCATGCTGGCCAGTGGCAACCGTCTGCTTGTCAGTCCCCCTTTCTGGAACTGCATTTGGATCATGGGCCAGAGCAGGGGAGTGGAGGGAAGGGGAAGGTCGGAGAGCACCCCAAAAGGGAGAAATGGGGGCTGTGGTCCATGTGGGACCCAGTGTGTACCTGGTGTGCCCCTCCAGGCTGGCACTGCTGGGCAGCTGCTCACAGGCCGGGGAGGAGGAATAGAACATTCAAGGAAGGCATACTAAGTGTGTGGCCGCCCAGGCCTGGGTTGGTCAGGGCAGTGGTGGCTATGTTATGTGGGCCTCTGCACAAACCCCCACCCACCCCATGTTAGGCGTGGACCAGATTCTGCCCAGAGCACATGGTCCGATGCACGTCGGTCTCGAATGCCTCAGATGAGCAGCGTACTACTGCCCATGTGGTGGCGCTCTCTGCCCACAGTCCCCATTAGGAGCCAAATTCTTCGCTGTGAGCAGAGCCAGAGACCCAAAGTATCCTCCTTTTCCAAAGAGGATATTTTCTCGAAAGCTCCAGCGGCTTGCTTTCTGCCCTTAGCTTAAAGCAGAGCCCTTAGCCTGGTCTTCCAGGCCCTTCCTGAGCTGGCCCCGCATGCCTTTCCGGGCCGTGCCCCTGCTGCTCTCTGCCATGCGAGTTACACTCCAGCTACCCAGGGCGATTCCTAATTCCAGTTCAACTTCAGTTTAGTGCACACTTACCTGCTGATCTCAGGCTCCTGTTATTCCTTCTTTTTTAAAATGGCCTTCTCAGCAGCCCCTGTCCCCCAATCCAGACGTGTTTCCTGCAGTTTTTTCCTTCACATTCGCACACGCTCTGGTCCCTCTTTTTATTACGGTGCTGACCCAGTCCGGTCCAATTCATACTTGCCAGATCTCAAACTAAGATACTTAGTGGTGAAGCCCCAGCTTTGGGGCCGGACCGTTTGAATCCTGGCCCTGGCATGTGCTAGCCATCTAACTTTGAGTAAGCCACTTCCTCTCTCTGAGCCTCAGTTTCTTCATCTGTAAATGGGGATAAAAGCAGTGCCATCTCATAGGGTTTTTGTGGGGATTCAGTGAACTAAAGAGGGTAAAGACGGCACTTTTGAGCCTGGTTCTAAGCATAATATCTGGCACTGGTGAATACTTAGTGACGGTCAGTCCTTCCTGCCATATGGCTGCTATAAAATACTTTTTGGGTTCTACACACACACAGCAAGCACAGCCCCCATCCTCAGGGAGCTCACAGTTGATGGGTAATTCGAATACACCTCATTAGTTCCATAACAGAGCCCTGAACGTGTCTGCCAGTGGAGTCAGGGAAGGCCTCACAGAGGAGGTGTCCCTTGAGCTCACCTGGAAGGAAGGGCAGGGTGATTGGCAGGTGGGGGGGGGCGCGGCACACATCTCCAGCGTGAGGGGTCTGGGTTGGGTGATGCCTGAGGTCTAGTGTAAAATGCCTGGAGCCGACTGGTTGGCCCAGGTGGCCACTGGGCTGCTCTGCCAGGCAAGGGGCCTAGAGTTGGCTCTGTGGCCTGGCTGTCTTGGGATGCCACTGGCTTGGAGGAGAATAGAGGGGGGCTCATTTTCTCGCCTAGCCTCCCCTCTGGGGTACTCCGCTCTGCTTGCAATGCCGCCCCGCCTGGAGCACTGTCACTCACCTGGCCCAGGTGGCCCTCCTCTGTGTCTCAGTGAGCTCCCTCCGCACTGCCGTAGGCCTGGCGTTCCTGCTCTCACAACACCTATTGCCCTGGGCTGTGATTTTCCATTTACCTGCTTGCTGTCTTCCCCACTAGACTGAAGGCCTCCTGTGGCCTCTGGAGGCAGGATTTTGACTCAGTTTTCCTTGAGTCCTAGTGCCTAGTACAGACAGTGTTTGCTCCTGGTTGGATGTTGATTCCCAGATTCCCTGGGCTCTCAGGAGTGACATGTCCCCATCCACAGATGCACTTGTTTTAACTGGCGAGCCAAGCCTATCTCCTAAACAATCCCATTTTGGGTTTTCTCCATATTCTAAATGTGCTGCATTCAACCTCACCACCTGCTGGGAGATGGGGAGACAATGAGGCAAATGGCTTTAAAAGGCCAATTACTGTAGCAGCAGTAATTCACTACTGCTCCATCACCCATCTCAACAGCTCATTGATATGATTTGGGGAAGTGGGCCCAGCTGTTTGGTAACTGGTCTCTGCCCCATGCCATGCCTTCCACCATGCGCTGCTCTAGACCTTATCAGACCCTTCCCACCACACAGATGGTGAAACCGAGGCTTATGGTGGTGAGGTGACTTGCCCACAGTCATGCAGGTGACGGCAAAGGCAGGGATGGCTGGGAATCCCCTGTGCTTTCCCTTCTTAGCTTCTGGGAGCCAGGCCCCACCAACTCTACTGTTCCGGGGTCAGGAAGACCTGAGCAGTCAGCTGTTGGCGTTAGGCTGGGGGAGAGTCAACACTAGGAAATTCCTCTCTTGTCCCTCACATTCCACGCTTCCTGTCTTCCATTCATCCATTTCCAAGGCTTCCGTATGCTGACACCTTCTGAACCTTTATTTCTTGCCTGCTGAGCACTCCTGCTTGGGGCCTGCTAGTTATTGTCCTTCCCCAGCCCTCCAGCTCAAACACAGGGAGGGCAAATGAGATGCTGTCTCTGACCTTATGGAGGTGACTACAGGCAGACGAACAGCAAATGAGGAAAACAAGACTCAGAGAGGTTAAGCGTTGCACTCAAGATCACACAGCAAAGGACCAGTTCACACTCAAGTCTCCAGCCCTGTCTCCCGATGTCCTAGTGTTCTTTTCACAGTGCCAGGCTATATGCTCTAGAAAGGAGGGAATTAAAAAATGCAGAGCCATATAAAAAAAAATGAGCACAGAGCAAAGAGAGCCCAAATACAGACTCAGGAGTCCTGCTCTCCTTGGGTTCTGGTCCTGGCTTTGCCACTACATCCCTGAGCAACCTTAGATAACTCCTTTTCCCTCTCTGTGTCTCCTACTCAATGTGTAAAGTGATGAGCGTTTGGAATAAGTACCTGGCACAGTCAGAGCCTCACCCGTGCATTCCCCTTTCCTCCATGTTCACTACAGCATTTATTGTGGCTGCTGTTTTACTCATTTCTGACTCACTCATTGGCCTCCTTCGTACCATCTCCATGTCTCCAGGCAGACTATGAACTCCTTAAGGAGAATAACTGAGAGTCCTCCATGTCTTTTTCCCCAGAACACATAGCAGAGGGTCAATTAGACAAATTGGATTAATCCCATAAACAATGGCTTTGTATTGCTAGTGCTGGAACTGGGCCGGGTATACAGTAGGCACTCCATAAACATGAAGAGGAGTGGGCAGAGACACTTGTCCTCACTTGATGAGTCAACTGCCGTCACAGCAGACGCCATGGGTCCCCCACCACTGAGGCCCTCCCAACAGCCTCAGTGAGGTGCTCGGTGCTGTCACCAGTCTGCCACCAGGGCCTGCAAAATAAAAAGACCAAAAAACAAAACATAAAAAAGCAACTGGCCCTAGACCGAACAGCCTTAATTGCCAGAGTAGATGTTAGTTTCAAAATGGACCTTAGCAGAAATTATGTCCAACCATTTATTTTACAAATAATAAAAATGAGACATAAGAGGGACATGCTCACAGTCACACAACTGGATGAAAGAAACAGCAGAATCCCAGGAATGCTCTCTGTCTGCCCCACGTGGTCAGGAGGTCAGGGACACCTTCTCAACCTGGCTGAGCTAAAATATTGCTCCATACACTTCAATCTCCCCAATCCCCCAGGATATCATCTAAGTTAAAAGATTCTCCAGAATGAACAAGTGACATCTTTTCCTGTACTGCCTCTCCTGAATGGCCACCCTCTCCTGAACACTGCCTAGCAGTAGAGAACCCCTGAAGGCTTGGGAGCAGGGCCCACGGTATACAAGGCACTGTTCCAGATTTTTCTAGAAGTATTCACATTGTCCGTATTCTAAGAGACAAAAGACCCATAATGGTGAAGTCTTAAAAGCAAGACTGGATCATGAATGAGTAACTCAGAACACTTGGAGATTGCGAAAGGTACTTTGCTGCTAAGCCCGTCCCGATTGGCACCTTTCCATGTCTCTCCAGCTCTGAAATTGGGTGATTAGGCCCACTGAGAAAGCTGTGAGCAACTTGCTCTCGGCGCTGTGGGAAATAGGCAGCAAGTGAGTTCAGGAGAGTAAGATAATTGGGTGATGCTTGGTGATGGCTTCCACGCAGCCTCGATGAGTAAATGGAAGCAGATGACTTGTCTGGAGCCTTCCAGCTTGGACGTTTGGGAGCCATGTTCACCCTGCAATCTTTTTTGTTTCGTTAAGTGGGAAATGGAAGAACCAGAGGGGAGAAGATGCAGAAACCATTAGGGAGAGGCTCCTGCCTGTTGAAACTGCTTGGATTCACATGCAAAAATGAAAATCCACTCATGCAAGTATAGTGTGATGCCTTCACCCCCAATTTCTACTGTTCTCAACTTCCCTGTGAACGTGGAGGCTGCGTGTCTTGTGCTGCCTGAGCATTCTAAGAGGAAAACGGAATGTGGGGACAGTACTTTGTCGGGTGTGGGTGGTGACGGCAGGCTCCCCCCAGCAGATGGTCTCTAAGGGCGGAATTACCAGGTGAAGGGCAGCCATTTCCAACACCAGAACACCAACGAAAATTTCTCCAAGAGAAACCCAGGTGGGCAGAGGTGGGAAGGAAACTGTCAGCTAACCTGCTGCCGTGGGTTGGGGGCTGTGCTGGGTCCTGGAGACACAATCTGTCAGTTCAGCTTCACATCGTTTCTGTCCAGAAGCAACGGCAACCCCAGTTTCGGTTATGACAACACCGAGGTTCGGTTTCTCCAATTGCTTGAGGTCATAGAACTAGAAAGTATCAAAACTGGGATTAGAACTCAAGTTCAAGGCTGCCACTGGCTCCTACGGCACATTTGTGCACATTAGGAGAAGGCACACCCTCCAGGCAGACGAAGCCCTCTACCAGGATGCAGCTTAGTGGGTCGAGCCCAGGCAGTATCCCAGCAACCGCCGCACTCCCTCAGCTGGGCACCGTTGTGCAGTAAGCAACCTAACAAACACACATGGCAGCCCTGGCCACCTCTGTGTCCTCATCTTTTTTCCATCGAGTCACGCTGTGCGGTTAGGGTTAAATGAACTAATGCACTTGATGCAAGGCCCAGCAGTGCCCAGGGGTTCACTAAAGGACTGTTCCCTTCCCTCTGTCCTCTCCTTGGCCCACTTACTTCCAGATACCAGTGGGCCATTCTCCTCTAAGACAGTCACACTTAGGAACCTACCAGTCTTGTTGGCAGGGGAAGTACTCAGAGTATTTAACCACTGGCGGGACTTGGGCACTGTCTACAATCACAACACATGCAGGCTGCCGCTCGACCGGGTCCTGGAGCCCTCTGCGTCTCCCTGAAGCTGGATAGGGGTGGTCATGGGGGAGGGGCGGGGGGCAGGGTTGTGGGCTCAGGATAGAAATGATTTAATATTTGACAGACGGCCCACCCACACCTGTGCTCTCAGGCCTAATGTCAACTCTGGTTGTTGGTAAAAAGTGGTTAACCTCTGATTCCCATGGCCAGCCACTTTCCCCAGGTCTGGGCCAAGTCCCATGGTGCACCCCAAAAAGGGACCCATTGACCAAGTTGCCTGCAGCCGCCACCCCTGCCCCAGGTAAAAATTGCAGTTGGAGACTTTCCCTGGGACAGGGCGGGGTGTGCCCGCTGTTCCCTTTACCTTTTTACCCCTGTGCCCTCCTGGTGACCCAGGTTTATGGGGCTTCCTATCTTCTCCTACAGCTGCAGGGGGGAATCTTATCTGGGTACTAATTACACTTCACAAAGCACAAACGTACCCGGCTGCTCTGGCAGGAGGGCAACATGGGGCTTAATTGTTTTATGGGCTTTTCACACTCAGAGAAGAGGGGAGAGATGCCAGCCGCATGGATCTGGTTTCTAGGGCTTCGCTTCCACAGTTGCCTCCCTGTCAGCTCCTCTGGGAGTCCCAAAAGAGGCCTAGGGTGGGGGCCTGGGGTAGAGAGGGCGTCTGCGCTCTGTCAGAGCTGCTGAGGGCTTGAGAGAATGCATCCCAGACCTGCCTTCCCATTGGTGCAAGGAGGCAGAGGCCCCCCTCCCCCAACCCTGGGACCAGCCCCGGTGTCCCTTACAGCCCTCCTGCCAGGCCTGTAACAGGCACGGGAACCTGCCTGAGCCAGCCAGTCAGGGCGCTGCACAAAGCCTGCCGCCCCCACTGGGAAAAAATCAGTCACCCCCACCATCACAGCCTCCCTCTCACCAGCCAGGTGCCGGTGGCGACAGCCCACGGCGTGGGTGGGCATTATTACCCCCACTTCATGGGTGAGGGGCCTGAGGCAGGGTTGGTAAGGGGCCTGCCCAGGACTGGGCGGCCGAGCAGCAGCGGGGCTGAGCTCTGAAAGCCGGAGTGCATCTGCCTCTCGGGAGCCCTGTCCTGACCGGATTCAGTCCCAGTCCCCGCCCTCTCCTCCCCTCCAGTCCCCGCTCTCTCCTCTGCGTCAGTTTCTCCCTCCCTCCCTCCCATTACTGCTGGTCCTTCTCCAGACCCTCCGTCTCATGTTGCCTTCTCTCCCCTCTGTCACGGTCTGTTCTCTGTCTCTGCTTTTGGCCTCTCTGCTCCACCTCACTGCTCAGTCTTTCTCCTGCTCTCTGTCCTCATACCTCTTTCTCCCCATCTTTCATCCAGCCGGGCCTGCTTCCTGGGCCTCCTGCTCTATCCATCTCTCCTCCCTGCTTCCCAGCTGTGGACACTGTTTCTCATTCTCTCCTCCCATCCTTGCATAAGTCACTACAGAAGCTCTGCAAAGTGATTATGGGAAACCCAGGGACTCCACTGCTGGGCTGCTCCCCCCACCCCGCCCCCCACCTTCTCTGCCAGCATCAGCTTCCTGTCTGTTCAGCATGGGGCCTGCCCACCCAGCCGCAGGATCTGCCTGCTGAGGCCCTGCACCATGGCCTGGCTGATGCCAGAAGCACATAACGTGCTCCCAGGGTGGACTGGGCCTAGCCTCAGGGAGTCTCCTCAACTTCCTTAGCCAGTTCATTAATTCTCTACACTTGACAGTGGCTTAACGTGCCTACAAAAACATTTTAATACCTATTATTTTATCTTCATAACTGCACTCTGAGGCAGGTTGAACAAGTTTGGTGTTATAGAAAAAGAGATGGGCAGCGAACAGTCATCAAAGGACTCCTCCATGCCAGTCGCCTAACACACCATGGCCTGGAGGGCTCACAGCAGCACATCTTTGTGCCAGTTAGGAAACTGTGCTCATTGTTTGATACACTTTCCTGCTACCTGCTGGAAAACTAATAAAGATCCAAATTAAAAATAATAAACATACAAATCCATTACGATGCTGTGAATAATGCCCTTTAGAGTTATGCAGGGCACAACCTGTACCAATGTGCATGGTGGATCTAAACAGCAAACCTGCAAGGGAGGGATTCTGGCTTGCATTTTGCACATGAGGACACTAATTATGCTGCCATCATCTTTAGATAGCAGACTGCCCTTTGGACTCCTACAGGTCTGTTGCTGTCTGGGTCTGGTTTTCCTGGTTCCGGAGAGTCTGCCTGGTTTGGGACTCAGAGCTCTCTAATCTCAGCCTTTATGTGTTCAGCTCCCCTAGTTCCAATAGTACAAAGCAAAAGACACCAGACTAGGGGCCAGGAGATCTGGTTTAAATCTAAGCACAGCCACCTAGTAGCTGTGCAAAGCTTGGCTGTTGACCTTAACTTCTGTCGGCCTCAGCTTTCAGATCTATAACCTGGGAATGACCTTATCTACCTTGAGGATGGTGTGAGACAGTGGAAATGAAAGTGACTGGCATGTGGTAGGTATTAAGTAAATGTTTGAAGAATAAAGTGATTAATAAATAAATAATCTGCACTGGGAGATATTTCCTCACAGAAGGAAATGGACTTTGGAGATCAAATTAAGATCCAAGTCTCTTGGATGAACTGCTCGGGTCAGAACACAGTGGTCTGAACTGTAGAGCCAGCGAGGTCCTCCTGTCACACACCCACCCCCCTTAACTCCCCTGTGCTATTTATCATCTACTTGTATGCATCATTAGGAATTTTATCATGTTGTCTTACACATATCTTCATATTCCAGTGACTGTTGTCCTGAGCTGCACTTTTCTGTTCTTGCAACGGCCTCTTCATTTGTATATGGAGGACCCAAAACCTACTGGAAGCATTTGGGAGACACTGCTGGCTCTTAACACCTGGAGCTTCTGACTAGTCAAGAGCAGGTAAGACCTCTGATATGACAGGTTACCTTGCTTTACACCATGGCAGTGAGTGTTCATAGAATGTCAAGAATAAGTTAAGATATTACAAGTCAAATTGTATTTTAGCAGCTCCAACTCAAATCTCGTTGGTGGTGTTGCCGTTGATAAAAGGGCAATCACATCCTAAGTTATTTAGCCTTCATGTACTAGATGCATTCTTGGTTTCGGTTGCTTGAAAGCTCAAAGTCAAATTTGTGACCCCTTTGTGGCAAGTGGCTGGGACTTTGAGCATAGCTCAGACCTCAACTTTCCTTCCTTAACTCCCCTCTGCTATTTTATTATCTACCTGTATGCTTCATTAGGAATTTTATCTTGTTGTCTTGCATATATCTTCATACACTACCTTGACTCCTTTGGGGAACAAGATAGGGCAGCGATAAATAAGTTTAATGACACATTTAAATGTGTCAGGTTAGTCGAAAGCAAAGTCCACTTATGCCACAGAGAGGATTCCACAGCTTCGTGGGCTTCTCGGTGCTTCCCATACCTTGGCTTCCCTCGGAGGCTGGACTGCAAGATGCAGTGAACTCATGGATGACCCATGGAACCTTGAACCGGACCGGAGGTCTGCAGACTGGGACCTGTGGAGCTTTGGGTTTCTGCACACTCAGATGCTGCAGTGGCCAGAGCTTGAGGCTCTTGGCTCCCACTTTTCACCAGAGCATTTACCTCGTCCTGTTTTTTTTCCCCCTCTTTTTGAACTGAACTACAGTTGATATACAATATTATCTTGGTTTCAGAGTACAACATAGTGATTTAACAATTATATATATATTACTGCTTGCTCACCATGGTGAGTGTAGTTACCATCCATCAACAAAGAAATTAACAGTGTCATTGGCTATATTCCCTCTGCTGTATTTCCATCCCTGTGACTAATTTATTTTAGTATAATTTGAAGTTTGTGCCTCTTTCACCCATCCCCTCATTCTCCTCCCCTTTGGCAATCCCCAGTCCATTCTCTGTGTTTATGAGTTTATTTCTGGTTTGTTTGTGTATGTGTTTTATTTTTTAGATATCATATTTTTTAGATATTTTTAGAAATCATGGTATCTTTCTCTGACTTATTGCACTTAGCATAATACTGCCTAGGTTCATTCATGTTGTTGCAAATAGCAAGAGGCCATTCTTTTTTATGGCTGAGTATTATTCCATGGCATAAACACACCACTTCTTCTTTATCCCTTCATCTGTCAATGTGCACTTAGGTTGCTTCCATATCGTGGCTATAATAAATAATGCTGCAGTAAACATAGGGGTGTGTATATATCTTTTCCAATTAGTAATTTTGTTTTCTTCAGGTAAATTTCCAGAAGTTTTTCTGTTTTATTTATCAGGCTTCCACGTGAGATTGAAGGAAGGGTTTCTCAGTTAAGGACAGTCTACAAAACCACAGAAGTAAGCAGGCTCTAGAGTTCTTTCAAGCCCTGAAAGTCTTTGGTGATAACTTCCCCTTTTGAGCTTTTCTTTGGGAAAGAGTCACTTTCAGAGTCACCCCTGCGCTCAGAGACCCCAAGATGTTTCATTTCAGGGTGCAGCCAGCCAGGCTCCTCTGGGGCAAAATCAGGAAGACGTGAACCCTCAGGGCTGGGCAAACGCCCTGCTTTCAGGAGAGGTGCCTTCGTCTGTGTGCTCTGGGCGCCTTGCTTGCCTTAACCTTGGTTCTCACTCTTGCTTAGAAGCTCTTTTTTCTCTGCATTTTGCTTTCTTGGATCTTTTAAATATGCCTGAATTCCACCCATGTTTGGAAGAACACCCACCCCTACAACCTTGACTCCACACCCCCCGCTCTGCTGCCGCCCTGCCTCTGTCCCCCACTCTGGTGCCAACTCTTTCCTGAAACATCCCCTCAGTTGGCTTATTCAACCCCGCAGTGTCCTGGTTCTCTTCCTATTTCTCTGGCTGTTTGTCCTCTGCCCTTTCCTGGCATTAAAGGCTGATGTTCCTCTAAGCTCCATCCTGCTCTCTACGTGTCCCCATCTACATTCCCATCCACTGTTGTGCCTTCCATCACCACCTGTATCCCATGTCTTGAAATCTGCATCCCAGCCCTTTCTGCTGGGTTCTGGACCAATAGAGAAATTGTCACTTGTCACCCCCATTTGGATGTCTCCAGAATACCACAAAATCCACCTGTTTAAACTGAATTCATGATCTTCATGAACCCCACTCTCCACACCACCCCAAAGTATCTGATCCTACCGACAGGTTATGTGGCGGAATGTAGGGGTGACATAGGAGGGAGGACTCGTGGAGGCTACGTGACCTTCATTCCTAAAGAGGGGGAAGAAATTATTTAATTGTCAAAAATATGACGGGACTGTCACAAATAAATGAGGAACATAAGTCGTGTGTGAGTCACTGTTCTATTCACTTGGAGATTCTATGTCCACGGCAAACATTTTATCAAAAAAATTGTAAGCGCCGTGGTGAAGTCCATGGATGATCACATTTAGTGACATGAGCAAACACCGTCACCACACTTAGGAAGCCTCTGTGCCATCCACTGCCCGTTCTCCCAGACCACCAGTGGGGGTTCTGCTCCCCAGCGATGGCCAATGACAGCACAAAGGAAAGCCCTACTTTGCATGTGCTGTTCCCACTGCTTGGGATTCTTTTCCCTGCTTCTCTCCCCTCCTCAGCCTCTCACCATTCTCTTCGTTCACCCAAGCCTTACACCTCCTCTGGTTCTCAAGTTGAATGTCACTTCCTCCAGGGAGCCTTCCTGAAACCCCTAAAGATCCTCGGGTCCCCCTAACACATCCCTCCCAGCCCCTGTGCTTGCTCTTCAGGGCTCTAATCAAACGGTAACATACTTTTCATGCTGGTTGTCTGGGACCAGCTCAGCATCCCTGTGGCCTTTCCCGGTGCACAGCAGAGGCAGGGGCACTGCCATTTCCTGGGAAGGTCCTGGGTTTGAGCTGGCCAGTGAGGCACTCAAGGAGATAGGATCCGTGGAGGAGAAAGAGAGCCATTGCTCCCCGGAGCCACTGCAGCCGGATGTGTGCACAGATGTGGGGCTGTAAGCTGCTTCCAGGTGAGCTTCTGACAGGCACCCACATCTGGGCTGCAGGCTGAGGTAGCTCAGGGGAGCTCCCCAGTGGCCTCTGGGCGAGCTCTTGGAAACCAGCTCTTTAGGGGTGGCTTCCCTGCCCTTCACTCCCGCTGCCTTCCAACACTGTGCAAGCCTCAGATTTCCTGTACTAAATCCCTTCATATGTGCAATACACAGAGTGGCTTCTGTTTTCTTGATAGACTCCTTACTGACACACTAATCGTGTGTGTCACTAGTGTTACTATCTATCTTCCCCCCAAACCAGAAGCTCCATGTGGCTACGGTCACCATCTTTGTCATGGGCAGCTGGATCCCCAGATATTAGTCCAAAGTGAGATAGAATCCATACCATCCCATTTAATAGATTGGAAGACTGAGCCCCAGGCTC